ACGGCCTGCTTCTTTGCCACCTGAGGCTGTGTCTGGGATCACAGAGTGCACCTCCTCTCATTTCCCACCGGCAGAGGCCTGGGGATGAAGCTGTGCACGGGGAGAGGGAAGGGGGAGGCTTTGCAGGGGCTCGTGAGGGGTGTGCGCAGCTGGGTCCAGGCTTTACCGGCCTACTGGGGGCCCAGCCTGGGAGAGGCCTGGAAGCTTCGCAGTTCTGAGGGGGGGCTCTGATACCTCTCCTGCCACCAACCCGCAGGGGTCCTGACGGGTACTATTACCGCATTTACTGTGAAAGGGGAGATGCAGACATTCCCAGGCTTTGGCTCAGGCCCGGGGGGGCTACTGAAGCTCCTCCCGCCCCCCAGGGTGCGGCCTGTGCTCCCCAGGGGTGCACCAACCTATTTCCTGACACTGCGAGACATTAGAGAAGATTTAGGAGAACCATGCCTGGCTGGTGCAGGTGCAGGCCTGCCATCCCCGACGGATTGGCTGTTGGAGGTTGTGGTGCTCTGGCCTGTGGCTGCCTTCTCGGGGCACACGGAGCTTGCAGTCTTGCCGGGGAAGGGCTGGTACGCAGACACAAATGTTGTGACATGCTGACCTGCAGAGTGCCGGGGTGAAGCTGTAAGGCCACAGTGCTGACAAAGGCCAGGGCCTGGCCGTCCCAGGCCCGGCTGGCTGCCGGTCCCATTATCTGATACCAGCCCGTTCGCCTGCCTGTCTCCAGCCTGCACCTGGCCATTTCTACTGCTGAAGGCGTCAGCACACGTGACCCCCCTGCCCTGGCTAGAGCATGAGCCGGATGGTCCAGGAGGCCCAGGCTGCAGGCAGGGGGCGTGAAGTCTCCGTGTTGTTCCCTGGTGGTGGGGGGCGTGGCTGAGGTTTTGCTTTGGGGGAGAGGCTGCGGACCTGCGAGGTGTGCCGCATTAGAGACTGCCTACTGGGTGTTACCCAGCATCTTAATGAACACGCACTCTGTTCTGAGGACCGGGCATCCTATGTGTGGTGCAGCTTGGGGGCAGGGGGGAGGGGGGAAGGGGGAGTGGGGAGATCAGGGACCCACAGAAGCTACTGCCCTCTGAGCAGAGCCATCACAGGGCACTTGCTGTGACCAGGGCCGACCACTGGGGGGAGCCTGGAGCAGGGGGAGAGGCCATTTGGCCAGGGTGTGAATCAAATGGTAGAGCACCACCTGCTGAGTGTCAGTACTGCCTTCCCCCAATAATAATAACAATGCTCAATCTAAGAAAACGTTAAATACTATCTCCAATAAGGGGAGTGAGCACACCGGAAGTTTGGGAGGTTGGGCATCTAATTTGCAAGACCATAAAAATTAAAAAAAATTAAAAATGTAATATTAATAACATACTAGAAATTCTAGCAGGTATAAGATAGGATTTCAAGAAATGTGTATGGAAGAAGGAACTGTCAAGGGCATGCTGGGCCAGCTCTTGCCGGATCCTCTCCTCTGCTGTGACCCAGGCCGGCTCTGAGCTCCCAGGCACGAAGCTCTATCCCCCAGGAGCCTTGCCAGCCCCACCAGGGAGAGACCTCGGTAACCTTCCTTTCTTCCCTTTTTTTTTTTTTTTTTGTCAGCCATGGGGTGTGAACTCTGGGCCTGGGCGCTGTCCCTCAGCTCTTCAGCTCAAGGCGAGCGCTCTACCATTGAGCCACAGCGCCACTTCCAGTTTTCTGGTGGTTCACTGGAGATGAGTCTCGCAGACTTTCCTGCCCAGGCTGGCTTTGAACCGCAATCCTCAGATCTCAGTCTCCTGAGTAGCTAGGATGACAGGCGTGAGCCACCAGCACCCGGCCTCTTTTCTCAAACCTTCTTACTGCTTCCTCTTCCCCCAGTCTCTTGGCTCTGCCCTGGGGACAGGTTTCGCTCCCTAGATGTGGCTGGCACGGCCCTCTTCCCCCGCCTCCTCCCCCGCCTCGCGCCCTCCGCGCCCTCCGCCGGGCTTGCTGGGGGTCACACTTGCTTCCAGACCTGGCTCAGGCCCACGTCCACATCCACTCCCAGTGTGTGATGTCCGCTCTCCATGCAGCTCAGGGCCCCCCAGACCCCAGGATGCCAAGCGGAGGTCCCGGACCTCCCCTGGGCCCCTGGGCTGGCCGCGGTGGGGAGAGCCTCCTTCCTCCCTCCCCAGGCTGGGACAACACGCAGTCCAGCTCCTGCCTGGACACCCGCGCCGCAGCGTGTGGACGGAGGCATGCAGCAACAGGGCGGGAGGGCCATGGGTGTGGCCGCCCGCCTGGCTCATTTGAGGTGGGGGCTTTCTTGTCTGGGCTTGGGGTGCCCCGCTGGGTGGCTGGCTTCAGCTGGTGAGTGGACATTTGGGATGTAGCACCTGCTCGGGACCAGCTGCCCTGAGCCCGCCCCTTCCTGACCCTCTAAGCCGCTCCCCCGCCCCCCTCTTCCCTGCACCCAGCAACGGGTTCCAGAGTGGAGAATGCTCACTTCCTCTCTGTGTATGAGAACAAGCTGAGGCCGTCTGTGCCCACCCCTCCCCCACGGGGCCTTTGGGGTGTGATTAGGGTTAGGGGTTCTCACACTGAGACTGGTGTCTCCCATAGAGACATCAGGCCCAGGTGGAGGCAGGGGGCAGAGCTCTGGCACTTTGATTGCCAACACTGCAAAAAAAAAGAAGCAGAAGTAGAAAGGAGGAGGAACAGCAGGAGGAGGAGGAGAAGAGGAGGCGAGGAGGAGAAAGAGGAGGAGGAAAAGCAAGCAAGACAGAACAGTCTCCCTCCCTCACCGTAAGCACCCCAGGAAGACTCCCCTCCCCCCGCCCCCTGCCATCATGCTGCTCATTTCCATGGTGTCCGCTGCCCAACCTAAGATGTCTCCTCACGACGGCAGAGAGGAGATGCCAGCGTGAGGTGGGCAGAGGAGATGCCAGCGTGAGGTGGGCAGAGAGATGCCAGCATGAGGTGGTTAGAGAGGAGATGCCAGTGTGGTGGGCAGAGAGGAGATGCCAGCGTGAGGTGAGCAGAGAGGAGATGCCAGCGTGAGGTGAGCAGAGAGGAGATGCCAGCGTGAGGTGAGCAGAGAGGAGATTCCAGCGTGAGGTGGGCAGAGAGGAGATGCCAGCGTGAGGTGGGCAGAGAGGAGATGCCAGCGTGAGGTGAGCAGAGAGGAGATGCCAGCGTGAGGTGAGCAGAGGAGATGCCAGCGTGGTGGGCAGAGAGGAGATGCCAGCGTGGTGGGCAGAGAGGAGATGCCAGCGTGGTGGGCAGAGAGGAGATTCCAGCGTGAGGTGGGCAGAGAGGAGATGCCAGCGTGGTGGGCAGAGGGGCCGCGCGGGGTGGAGGGGTGGCAGTGGTGGAGACGCACTGACTCCTTTTCTGACCGGCCTGGCCGCGGCGCCCCCTCTGTGAACTGTCGCCAAGGCTTCAAGCAGGCTCTTCAGGCACTGGCTTGGGCTGGGGACAGGGAACGCACCGCCAGGGACCGCTCTAAGCCCGTCCTGGCTCTGCCTGCTGAGGGGGACGGTGGAGGAGAAGCAAGGAAAGAGCTATGCGAGTGGTAAAATAATGTTTTATTCCATGGACGAACAAACACTACCATGCCACGCCGTCTCCCTTGGGCGGAGGCTCCGGCCGAGAGGCCTGCCTTGCTGGCCTGCACGCGGCGGCAGCGTGGTGGCGCTGGGATGGCTCCTGCGGCCGGCCCGCGGGTCCTTGTCACCGGCCGTGACGCCAATGGCGACGTGCTGCCTTCAGGATCCCGTGATGGGATCCTCCCACAGACCTCAGGAGAACTGACATCCCACGCTGGCGCGGGTGGAACCAAACCCCACCGAGACGCGGCAGGGGCGCGTCCGCGGCAGACAGGACGTCAAGGACGCTCCACGGGGCCGGAGGCGTCGGGCTGACCTCCCGTCCGTTGACCAGTGCCAAGGGAAATGAATGCCCGTGGCCGGTCTGTTCACCCTGGCCGGCTGGACGCCCGGGCCGGAGCGCGTCCGCATGCACGCGTGGCGCGGCGCGCCCGACACACGATCCTCGTTATATACAGCGAAATGAAATGTACACGGGACAGCGGCGGTGCATCGCCAGTGCGTATCTTACAAGGTCCACGGGGAGCCGCGCCAGCCCTCCGCCCAGGGCTGGGGCCGGCCGGTCCCGCACTTCCCTTCTGACCCCCCATGCCTGGAGGGTGGAACCCAGCTTCGCCAGCTGGTGATTTCCAAACAAACGTCCTGTGAAAGGCCCTGGTGACCCATCAGGGAGGACGCGGGCAGAGCAGGACAGGTCCGCAAGGACGACGCGGACCGACGGCCACCCCCCAGTGTGGAGGGACGGACGGATTTTGGGCTCCTCAATCCTGCGTGTTCTCCCTCAGCGGCTGCAGCGCCCGCACCAGTGACCACGGCACAGAGCGCACTTTCCCGCCGCTCCCTCGTCATCCCGGGAAGCACAGGGCGGAGGCAGACACAGCGGCCAAAGGAAAGTAAAGAAGGGGAAGAAACGCAAAGAGGGCGCAGCGCCTCAGCCCCCTGCGCGCGGGCTAAAGCCACAGAGAAACACCCATTCCTTCCAGGCGGTTAATGCGCGTGCGCACAGCAGCAGCAGCACTGAGGGAGGAGAGGCTCTTGTCTGGGCAGATGTGGGGTGCACTGTGGACAGCGGCCGGGCGTCGCTGAGCGCATCCTGGGCCGTGCTGTTTCGAGGCCTGGCTGTGGCGGTGGGGGCGGAGGGGCGGCGTGGACACCGCTCACAGAGGGCCGCAGGGCTGCTGAGTGGAAGTGTGAGTTTAGGGGCCAGTTTTCCTGGGGCCTCGCTGCCATCTGTCCTTCGCTTTTTTGTCCCTCTGGGGGGTGGACATGGGACGTGCCAGTCTCTGGGGGCCAGGGGGAGGTGAGGCTGCTGGGGCGGGTGTCCAGGCTGCGGGGCGGTCAGTCTCCTCCGGAGAAGAAGGGCGGGTCCCACGCCCATCTGCCCTCAGCATGGAGAGACACGTGCGACCGACCCTCGTCCCCTCGACCTGGCCGCCCTTAGGCTCCGGGGAGAGGTCTCAGTTGCACGTGTGTGTATGTGTGTGTGTGTGTGTGTGTGAGAGCGCGCGCAGGGCAGACGTGTGCTTAGTCCTCTTCTTCCTCCTCTTTCGCTGTGGCTGTGGGTAGCTGGTCTTGGATCCTGAAGCACTCCACGAAGAAGTTGATGATGGCCCGGTTCAGGTGCTGCTGGAGGGCGGTGCTGTGGAAGTAGTGGCCCTCGTCGGGGTAGATCTGTGGGGAAGGCAGTGGCAGTGACGGGGGACACAGCCGGGGCGCCTGGGCGCTCTGCACGGCCGGACATTTCCTGCCCGCCGCAGCCCCCACGCAGACGTAGGCCCAGGAGCTCCGCCCGTGGGCCCAGACAGCGGAGCGCGCCTGGCGGCATGGGGCACTCCCGCGGAGGTCACGAAGGCCAGCCGGCCTCCCCGGCACCTCTGCCAGAGGCCGCGGGCACCAGGCCAGAACTGGTTGAAAAAGTCAGAAAACACTTTTCGGCAAAGTCTTTGGAGTCAGACTGCTCGCCTGGATTTGCAACCTGGACACACGCTCAGGGGCCGCACAGCTAAGTCTGGGGACACACACACACACACAGATACACACCCAAACATACACCACATATACCACACACAATACACATGGACACACATGACATGTCCAGAGACGCACACCACACACATATCACACACCCAGACACACACAGAGTGCTCTCCAGGCACTCTGGGCACAGGTAAGCCCCTCTATCGGGCGTCCTGCTGCTGTGTGTCTTTGTAATTGGCTCTGCTATGCTCACCCAGCCTGGCTGTGGGGTCAGGGGGCACAGCTGTAAAAGAGCCTGGCTCATTATGTCTGTGAGAAGGGTTGAGAGCAAGGCCCAGGGTGTGGGAGGGGCCTGGAGGCTTGCTCAGTCGGCCAGGGTCTCTGGGGCTGCTGTGCCAATCCTGTACAAGTCTCTCCCAGAAGCCCATCCTGTGCCCTGCATTTCGAACCTCATCTACCCTGGTGTCCTGCAGGGCAGCACCCGACTTTATTCTATACATGACGTCATTAGGTGAGTTCATGCATATTTGCTAGGAGAGCAAACTGTACACAGGAAGGGAGGCGCCAGGCCCCTGCCTTCGACCCTGGCCCTGCACTCGGCTGAAGCTGCGCAGAGCGATGGACTCGTGCATCCGTCAGGACGGGCTGAACCCGAGCACACGGCCCCAGGGGCCCTTTGGGTGGATTCAGCCCAGGTAGTGTGGGGATGCAGCCTGTCAGCCCTGGTGGTATGTCCCAGGGCCTCAGGGCCAGCACAGAAATGACTTTCAATCTCCCAGGGTTCAACCCTGGGTGTCAGGTGTACAGTCCAGTTCACTGATCTGCATCCTTCCACCTCATTTGCCAGCCCTCACTCCCCTTCTCCCAGTGCTCTCCTGAGCCTCAACCCTCCCCGACTCCAGGGGGTGACGCCAGAGACAGGGCAGGTGGAGGTCGGGGCCGGGCAGCCAGGCTGCTGGACCCCAAACAACGGGGCCTGAGGACGAGCAGGACGGGAGGCAGTTTCTAGGATCGGCCCTGTGCACGCTGGCAGGAGCCAGCGGTTGAAGCGGAGAGCGCAGGTCTCAGAAGGCGGACGGACAGCTGTCCTGCCCTAGCCACAGGGTGCTACAACACCCTGGCAGTGTCCAGGGACAGCCAGCAGAGAAGGCCCGGGGCCTGCCCTCTCCCCACTGCGGCCCACGCGGGCATACAGGGCCGACTCAGCCTTGCTTGCTGCGAAGAGGAGCCTGTGGGACAGCGGGCGGGCGTTTAGCCAAGGCTTAGGGGACAGCTGAAATGGCATCGGTTAGAGGAAAAGCAGGCCTTGTGTGAGGGCCTGCGGAGTGTCAGCTGACTGGGCACACGCTGGACATCACAGTCCTTTTCCCACAGTTCTCCTGCTCCACACAGACAAGCATACTGTACCTGTAAGCTGTAATTGGCCTTTCCCTTGATTAGCTGCGTAATGAGCTCTGCCGTGTGCTGGAAATGGATTTTTTCTGTAAGAAGAAAACAGGCAAGTGTTTGTGCAAACATGTAGCGCCCTCCCCGGGCGTCACCAGCCAGCGGACGGGGCCTGGTCCTCACCATCGGCCGTGGCGTGGATGAGCAGGAATTGCTGTCCCTCCAGTGCTGACACTCGGTGGGCCACCTTGGTCATCTGCATGGGCAGCCGCCAAGGGACACGGTTAGTGGAAGTCAGGGAGTTGGTGTCAAATTAAAACCTGACACACACACCCCCCGCCCCCAGCCCTGTGTGACCACCCCCTGCCGAGTGTGACACCCACATGTCTCTGTGTGACACCACATGTTCCTGTGTGACATCCACATGGCCCTGTGACACCCACATGGCCCTGTGTGACACCCACATGACCATGTGACACCCACATGGCCCTGTGTGACACCCACATGGCCCTGTG